GCTTTGTTGAGAATGCTTAAAAGATGAAATAAAGTATGGGAAGGATTATGTAAAAGAGCTTAAGGGAGTTAATTCAGATATGACAAGAGATATGTGTAAATGTGCCGACCTTAAATAAAAGAAAAGGACAATGGTGGTGTCTGTCATCTACTACTAGATAATTATTGCATTAATTAAGCTATAAATAATAATATCTTATGTTAAATGATAAATAAAGCGGGATGGGGCTAATCAAGCGGCGGCGGGCTGTATGCCAAGATTCGGTATCAGCTGAGCGCAGCGCTGGAATCGCTTATTTGTAACAGCTTAACATTTTATTAATAAACTGTACAATGTTGTTATATTTAACTTTAAAATGGGTAAATAAAAATATGTAAAGAATAAAAATGAGTCGTGGTTTTTCTGTTAATATCTAAGTAACAATTGTTTGTCACCTCTAACTTATCTTGCGTTTCTTCGATAGATATCCTTTTACCGAATTTAACATTAAGTAAAGCGAAGATTAATTTATTCTAAACTTAATCCAAATCTGTTTTATTAAATTAAAACCTTGGTCTTAAAATTGTTTTCAGTTCATGAAAGATTTTTTTCTTTTGGAATATTCTCGTACAATTAATTTTTCGCATTACACAAGTATAGATGCAAAAAAATTGCAGTATGTGCATATAATACATAAAGTAGCAAGGTCTGGCAGCATCCCAGACACTTTGTTATCAAGTCTGCGCTCGCCGGACACCGATACGAACGGCTCTTTGTCATCCACACCTAGTAAATATTGACTTGAATCTTAACAGATATGCAAATAAAGTTAATAATGCGCACTTTGTAATTTCTGAAAAGAAGTTAAGTTGTAATCCTAATACTTTGGGGCGAAATAAAATGCCACCACAATATGCACGGCAGCAGAAAAACAATCTGAACTTATGAGTACAGTACAATATAAAACATCGTGAAGTGATTCAAAAAGTTATAAAAACCCTGCTCCGTTCAGTCCCCCAATCGCGCCGATAGCCGCGCCGCTCAGCAACGCTCTAACTGGCCCGCTAACTTTTCATTTCATTTTCCAAACTTTTAATCTCAAAGTGCCCGTGAAAGAAAAATGGAGGCGTTAAGAAAATCGCCAGCGCCACCTATTATCAACTCCTGCAACTCCCATAACTTCCGTCCGGACGCGACTTAGAAACCAATTTTAAAATGCAAAATGTACTCTAATGTTATGTAATAGAGTTGTATTTTCAATAGAATGGCTTTCATCTTACATCTCGAAGAATTTTACCGAAGAGTCATAAAAAGTAAGATATTAATGTATCGTGGGAGGCATTAGACGGTCGCTGGATCGATTTCTATGCATAAAAAATGCTAATGGCCCGGCTGAGAGTAGGATGTGCTTGAGAGGTGATTTATGCGAGGACTTGCCGAACTATTGCTTACCTGGAGGACAGGTGTGCTCGAATTCAGGTCGCTGTTATAAGAGGCTTTTTTGATAATAGCGTCGCTTGTAACTTAAAGTGCTGTACCACTACCTTAGGAACTCATGCTAGTAGATTTTACCTTCAAGCGATTGGTTTAACTTTTTAACAAATCTGCTACAGATTTGAGTAAAGTTTTAAATGCAATACAGGGAATTAGTAATTATTTACATGAAGCTGTGTGAATGATACTAGAAGTATCTGTTTGTTAACGTGTTTTCTTCTGTATTGTTTTATTGAAAACGAGCTTTCGCCCGCGACTCCCTCCGCGTGGAATTAAATAAAAACAAAAGTGAATGGCCTATGTGTTCTTCCAGGTTATCCTCTACATCTATACCAAATTTATCGAAATCCGTTCAACCGTTTAGGCTACAAACTCTAACAAACAACCATCCATCTAAACTTCCGCATTTATAATATTACTATGATTATTAAATGAATTGACAGTCAACTAGTATTATTGGTAAGCATGAAAATTACAAAGTAATCCATTAAAAAGTTATTTTCAAGTATATCTTTAAATTCGAAGACGCTATTAGGCAGTTGGTTTGCTCGTAATATTCTGTCGATTAATCTCCCGCTACCAACTCCGACGGCATTCGCCGGCTGCAATAAAAATGTGATTTATATACGGAAATAAGCTATTTTAAATCGATCGAGCAAATGGTTTTTGTTACCCTACAATACTTTTATTTTTGCATATCATTTAATAATACTTTGTTTTTTTTTGTTGTCTGAAATTACTTACGTAAATATAAATTTAATATGATTGTTTATTGATCTTTAAATATAAGGAAATAAAAATTCTTTGTTACTTTCTACAAGTTACCTTAAAATACGAGTGATCCAAGTCACGTTTACGGCGCAAAAAGTGACACGTCGCGCCATCTAGTATCAAGTAGCGATAACAGTTTTATATCTTTACTTTTAAAAATTCTTCTAAACAATTATTACGTTGTAATTAATAAAAATTAAGTTACAGTAGTCATTTTAAAGGTTAAATTTTTATTTCCTGAAAATACTGTCCTACACAAATTGATTTTATCATGTATAATAATTTTACTTATGAGAAATATTTGGTATAAACTCGGTTAGAATACTTTTAAGGAATTAAAATAATCCTTTGTTAATGCGATAAACAAATCAAGTTGTTTTAAATCCACGAAGTCATGAGGTCAAGCAGGGAGATAATCTCACGTAACCGCGCGTTCGGGGAATCTCTGAAAGACTACAAATATCTTTTACTTTTAAAACTTGCAGTATTCAAATAGCATATCTCCATAGGCAATCGAAAAATGTGAAATATATAAAATCTACTATTTATAAGACCATAATAATATATTCCACTGTTTTCAAATTTTAATCTACACGTGATCAAAATACCAAAGATTTTATAAGCCGTTCTATTTTGTTTAAAATAGTATTTAAATTTTAACTCGTGTAATCTTTCCTGTATAGGATTAAAAATTCCGTAGAGCGGTCAAAAATAAATCAGTGGCAATAATTGAGGCACATGTTGTGTAATCTTCGCGGCGCGTTTCCACAGTCACGTAGCACGGCACGTCACAACCTACGTAAAAATATCTGTCGAGCACACCGATCGCGATACGACCGAACGCGCGAAGAATATATTAATTTTTATATTATTTTATTAAATATGTAAAAAAAACAAAACCCAGCTGACCCCCCGCCGACCCACCTTCGTAATTGTGTGCCGGCTTAACCCCGTACGTGCATCTCCAGTTTTAATATCCACCCGACTCCCCCGGCCCTTTTATTTTTATTGTACTTGCGGTGAGATATTTGCATATATAATTTCTGTTGTACGGCTCTAATTTATTTATTTCGGCATTAGAGGCGCGGATGTTGAATCCCAATTGTCCGTTGTTTTGTTTACTTTTAATATCTATGGTAAATAATCAATATGTAGTTCGTGTTGATGTTTATTTCGTGTTTTAAACATCTTGGTAATTATTTCGTAGCGTAATCGTAGCCTGTCTACGACGCTACGATCGTAGATCGTCTCGTAGATATAGTAACTAGAAACTTTATGCAACTAAGTTTTTTATAAAAGAAGGGTGAAGAAAATCTTTAAAAGGACTACATGGATATCACCGTCTATAACGGAACTAAAAAACATAAAAACACCAAAAAGGATTAATTAAATAAAAAGAAATTATTTGATTAATTCGTTTGTACCCGCTCGCTGTGAGTCCGGGCTCCGTAGCGACCCTGGTAAATCGCTTTGATTCCTCCCGATAATCACTGCTTAATGCAGTACCACTCTTCCGGTACACGCATCCCTTTTTACTTTATTAATGGAGGTTTATTTGCACAAGTTAATATAAAATGTAACATAGACAATGAAGGGTAATAATTTTTATTATTAAAAATGAATTATAACTTATAAATGTAAGTGTGTTTGTGGAGATTTATCATTTAGTTTCCAATATCGCAGAAATATGTTATGACAAGGGTCTACAAGTTTTGCATTCGGTTGTTAAATGTACTGGAATTTATTACCAGCGTTGTAAATTCCAACTATAAATCATTGTGTTCGATTCCTAAGGTTTATACATATCTTCAAGTTTCTATGCAGTATAACTTAAAAACAACTATACAGAATACAAGGTTACAAGCAAAGAATTAAAATTTCTCTCGTATTAAGTAAAGCCAAATAACATTTCATCCCGATGGATAGGAAATTAAATTCCGCAACACAAAGTTTATGTTTAGTTTCTTTTCCTAACATCAATAAACAGTTATCCTTGCATTTTGCAAACAATCGAGGGAACTTTTTCAATTTTGTGTAAAATAGTCTGCGAGGAGAGAGGGCCGTCAAACGATAAACGATTATAAGTAAGACGTAAGAGGAAGCTCGGAGGCGGCGTAATGAGAAATAAAGAGAAAGAGGCGGCAGGAAGCGAGACGAGATCCCGCAGGCGCTTTTTTTACTCCTCTTATTGATTAAAAAAGTTTCTTAATCATATCTACGCTTTGCCTGCGGATAGTGCGGGAACCTCGATCCAATCGGAAATTACTTACCGTATTACCAACATTTTGAAAATGGAATCACATTGCTATTTGAAACGGAAGCAACAGAGCGTGCGCCCACCTAAAACACTATTTCACAACTGTAATCTCGCTTTGATCCCTGTAAGCTTATATCGTAAACTACTCGATTTTTAGTTGTGCAACTGACTGTTGAATGAGCTACGAAACAATCGACAATCGCACAACAGTTTTGCGATAGTTTAGTTAATGGTGTGCGCCCGCTCTTAGTGTTACTTAAATTTTTTCTTATGATGTTAACAAGAATACTAATAGAACAACACTTTGAGGCAAACAGTTTACACTATACAGGTCCGCCATAAAGCATACATGCTAGTGAAAGTCTACTCTAAAAGTAGTGTATAGTCTATTTAGCAAAGAGACTCTGAAGAAGATATGTATGTTTAGCAATAAGCATTTTCAGAAAGGGTTTTTATTTAATTTATGTTATTGGTACTATATTGTGTTTACTTGTTGCAGCGCTTACAGCTTCTGTCGCCGCCAGAGTTCAGCGTGGAACGTATGGTGGGCAGCGCGTGTGGTAGCCGGCTGTGCGTGTATGGCGGACGTGGCGCCACGCTTGTCGATCTGCCGGCACGTTGGGGACGCGCAGGACTCTTCGATAATGGCAACCATACAGTATTGTGCAAGTTAGTATACATAATAAGCATTTGTCTTAAATGAAAGGTACATGTAGTATTTGCGAGAAACATTGAGGTAAGTTTTTATATCTGTACGTTAGTAATATTTTGCAAAATTCAATAACAACGTCATTATGTGATGCCGTTAGTGTTCACTTAGTATGTAACGTGCTTAACTCTAAAGTTATTTATTAGCTTGAAGTTTTAAAGTCGTATTCTTAAAGCAAACACCTGCATACCGCGCGTGATAAGTTCCCGGTAGCGGCGGCACGTAAGCATCGTGTATTTTCTACTATCACGCTAAATTTTGTTACCTATTAAGCTCCTCGAAGCGGCTATAATGTTAGCCCGAGGTAACGATTAAGACATAGATTAGTCAAGACTTTTATATTTTCGCAGACACGACATGATTTTATTCAGTTTGTGCCTACGGCTTGCGCCATAACAATGAATTTTAAGGAGGTGTTTACTGAAAAATTACTATGGTTTATAGATGAGATACTAATAGTAATTTAACTTCGCCTTCAAACCTTTGTGTATAGATTCATTTTGTAAGACACTGAAAATATGTGTTGTGCTTCCTCTTAATTACTAAAATAAAATAAGTAAATATTTTCAGATTTAAACCAATAACGAACGTACTAAAGATTTGTACTTAAACAAAAGTCTCCCAGAGGCCAAAGGAATATAGGTATCAAAATCATCAATTCCTTTCTGCATTTAACTAGTGTTTGAAGTGTTGCTCGCTCAAGTCACCACTCTTTTGTACATGTTATTAGGCGGCTATATCTTGCGATTTGCATATTTCGGCAGTAAAATTAATTCGAAGATTTGCCCGCATCCCAGACGGGGCGGGGGCGCAGGCGGGGACGGACGTCTTCGCGGGAGGGATAATGTTTTTGGATTTGTGCATTCGGATCGAGCTACGCAGATATGAGTTGCGGCAAAACGATTGTCATTCTTTGTATGAAATTTGTACAAACTCAAGTTTTCACATTATGTTTCTTGTCTATTTAGTTGTTAAGATTTAATTGGCGAAGTTAATTTGAATCAGCATAACCTTTTTTCTTTAGAAAGTATGAATTTAAAATGCTGTAATTATGTTCAGATCACGTTAAATGACCAATAAAAGAAACTGCAACAGTAACGTTAATTTACTTTTTAAAAACGAACTTTTTACAAAGAGCCAAATTTTGTATTTACAAATATAATTAGAGATGGCAGGATAATAATGTAATAACATAAAATTAGTTATACTATCGAGGTGAACTCGCGGCTAATTACCATTTGATCCGAGCCGCCAACTTTTAAGATCAACATTACCCGCCACGACCGCTTTCTACTCACGACACGGGGACGATACGACTGCGATAATAAAACATATTTTATTATATCTTACAGAATTCTTATCATGTAAAGATTTAAATTCGTCTATCGACATAACTCGTGCCTATAATGAGGTGGGATCTACTATTTTTTTAATATTGCGCTATTTTTTTATAAGACTTAACTTTAAACGTTTTTTTTGCTTACATAAATGTATATTAGTGCATACCACTTATAAAAATTCTTTATTATGTATTTAAATCAACGTAATAAACAAATAATAAACGCAAGTTACGTATGAAAAATCGTCAAATACAAATGGCCTCAACACTCGAGACTTATGATAATAGCCGTTAAAAGGCTCACTACTCTCCCCCGTTAGTATTAATCCTAACAACTAATATTAGCAATAAACAGCCCTCTCAGCTAATTATGCTAAGACGTTCCGTCGCCTTCGTGGATTTGAGATAAACTGCACTTAGCAATGACTATGTAGACTTCTAGATATGATTGAAACATAAATAACTCTGAATTTTACATCAAATAAAGCGCCAATAGCCTAATGGTTTGGGGACGGACTACCGATCTTGAGGTCGAGGCTTCGAATCCCGCCATTCGACTATTGTGAACCATGTCCTAGCACAAGCCTAGAGCTTAGTTGGAATGGTTAAAGGAAATATTAGTAGATTAACAATAGTCTACTAGTATTTAAAGAAAGTGAAAGATATGGACTATACCCACGTAATCATTATAAATTGTTTTATATTTTATTATACACTAGCTGTTGTTCGCGAATTCACCTATGTTAAATTTAATATTGTAGCCAATGTTACTCACAGATAAATTACCTTTCTAACGGTGTAGGAATTTTTAAAATCGGCTCAGTAGTTTTTGAGTTACTTCAATATGTTTAAAAATACAAATCTTTCTTCTCTATAATATTAGTATAGAAAAATGACTACAATTTTCCATTTAATTAAATATCCATTAAACGACTAGTTAATAATTAAACGTCTCCGAGTGTAATTTTTCGTGGTTTTCCACCAAATAAAATTAAATTACCTGCTTTTTATAATGTATAGAGTGTTTGTTCATCTCGATGAAGTCTTAAGAAGTCAAAGGCATGTAATCAGACGTCCATTATTTGGCAGACGGTCGCCAAACAGTATCCTGTTTAAACAAACCGAGTAGGGAGCGCTGTGTAGTGTATACCAATCATTTGTGTTTCGTTTTTGGGGTAATTTCTATAAAATATTTACTGAGAAATGTATTTACATATCATACTAATATTATAATTGCGAAAGTTGAGATGTACGGATGGATGTTTGTTAGAGTTTGTCGCCTAAACGGCTGAGCAGATCTCGATGAAAATGGCATAGATGTAGAGCATAGTCTGCGAGGACACATAGGCTACTCACTTTTTTTTTAATACCACGCGGACGGCGTCGCGGGCTAAAGCTACTATCACATCACAAGGTTTAGTCAGATTAATAAGAAAATGTCTTTGTAATTGTGTGTCAAACTGATGACGTCACTTATGACTTTCGTAATTAACGGCTTTATTGTTACATGTAAAATTTGTATATGAATTCTAATAACGATCCCCACATAATATTGATCAATAAAATGTTATCTTTCAAGTGGTCATGGGTCGTACCCAAAACAAATTCGAACTATATTTAATCAATAGATACGAGGCATCATAATCCTTTGACCGCGCACCCGTGCCGCACCAAATGATCCTCTAAGACTCAATTACTGGCTTACCCTGATTTACTAACGCCCGATCCAATTTGTGAACCCATAGCCCGATCGGAGAAAACTATTCCTATCCTAACAAAACATTTCCGACCTAACGCCCGGCGCGATTGAGTTCACCTACACGCTTACCCTACGTCACCTTGGAGCCGATATTGCCTAGTCATGCGAGTGATGACCAGCGATATCGGATTAACAAAATGTAGTCCTTAATGTAACTCAATAAGGTATGTTTTACAACTACACGCGGTGTAGTAACGGACCGTGCGACTTGAACCCCAATTATAGACCACAAACTATTTTATCTAACACCCGTGTGACATCACTAATCTTATTAGAATCTATTGGAATTGAAAACGTGCATAGAAAGTATAGAAGAAGACTTTACAAAATTATCTATGGATGGGCAGGTGAATGTTTTATCAGTTTTAAAATACTATTATTTCTATAACTTTAATTTCCAAAACAGGATGATGTTTTAAATGTTTAATAGTCGTCAATTTAGATCTCAGGACAATAAGTTTCAAGGGTTTAAGAATAGAAAGGCTTGATTGAGTTTTCTTTTAAATAAAACTAGCTGTTCTCGTGCGGCTTCATCCGCATGAAATTATAAAAAAAATAGTTTATAACATTTGTCAAATTATCAATCGCAAATGTCAAAATGACATAACGTGACAAACCTCGGCAATCTTGCTTTCTTGATGTTGGAAACAATGGTCTTTGTCCCATATTAGGGTTTTTATCCAAAATATTTACCTCCCTAAGTTTAATGGTGTAAAAATATATAGCCTAAAGCGTGACGTACTTACGTCATATCATGTTTTTACAAACAGCCCTACACTTGTAGGGCTGTTTGTAAAAGCATGATTATTCAAAAATATGCTGCAATTGCTGACATCTAAGGCAACAAAGAAGTGTGTGTTTACGCTTTATTATAATAGTATAGATCAATAGTACACCAATCGTTTAATTTCTTTGTCATGTTAGATTCATATTGTACTTTATATCAATTATCTAAAAATGTATTTTTTTTAATAAATTCAAATTAGATCCACATATCGCTAACATCCGGCTAACCTCAAGTTGGATTGATTTGTCGTTTGTAACGCGAGTTTGGTTAAACCAATTTGCCGGTTAATCCATCGCGGGATCCGATCCGACGCTTTGCGACACCCGCAACCCTCTTACACCCTATACCCTCCGTAGCCTTCACGCCTTCTGACGCGGATGCAGACAAATTCACTTAAGATTTATTTCTTATAGCTAATCTTTTCTAACGATTGTCTGGATACATTTATAGCATCGATGTTAAGCTTTTAATTAAACTGGTTACTGATGTCTATAAATAGATCGGTTATTGATAAAAATAACAGCTTTTGACATTCCAACTTAGACCCGTCAGTTGTTACATGACAGTTAATTCTATTGTGACCTATACAAATATAAAGAGGAAAGATTTATATTTTTGTAGGTATTAAAATAACTCAAAAACCACTGAGCTGAATTTAAAAATTCCTTCACCTTTAGAAAGATAATTTATCTGTGAGTAACATAGGCTACATTTTTTAATTTCACCCTGGCAAAGTCGCGAGCAACAGCTGTTATTAGTAAAAATCCACACATACCAGCCAATATCGTCAGCTCTTAAATGGCTAAACATCACAAAAAACTACAATTTACAGCCTGTCCATTTATTCAACTGCAAATCATAAATGAAATCGACACTAAGGAACTAAGTTATAAATAAAAGAGTATGTGAATTTAGACCGTAGTAAAGACATCATAGACCGGAGAGTAAACATCGTAGAGACGGTCAGCAAACATGTTTACACAGTCCAGCACAACCGTACTGGACTGTCGTGTTACTGGATACTTATAGTCTATTACCAATGAAAGAGATAGTATTCTTTATAGTTATTCTTCTC